CAGGTTTGAACCCAGGCTCTGCTGCTCACCAGCTGAATGGCATTGGGCAGGTCACATCGCCTTGCTGTGCCTCAGTTTCCTTATCTGTAAAATGAGATGACAATAGTATCTATTGAAGGTTGTTGTGAGCATTAAATATGTGAATATGTGTCAGGTGCTTAGAATAATGCTTGGTACATATTAAGTTGCCAATAAATGTTAGCTGGGCCCTGACCAGGTAGCTTGGTTGGTTAGAGCATTGTCCCGAAATGCCGAGGTTGCAGGTTGGATCCTCAGGGCACTTGTAAGAACCAAGTAATAAATGCACGAATAAAATGCTTAAGTGGGACAACAAATTAATGTTTCTCTTTCGCACTCTCCCTAATTCTCTCTAAAAATCAATAATAAATAGAAGGCCCCTGCCTCCACTCCCACTCTGCCTCCTCTTAAATAAATAAATAAATGTTAGCTGATAATAGTATTACTTTTGTTATTGTTATTTGTAGGCAGCCGATCAATAAGGTCTGACCAGTATTGATTTCAGAGAGGAAAGGAGAGGAAGAGATAGAAACATCAATGATGAGTGAGAATCATTGATTGGCTGCCTTCTGCACACCCCAACTGGGGATTGAGCCCGCAACCTGGGCATGTGCCCTTGACCGGAATCAAACCCGGGACCCTTCAGTCTGCAGTCCGACGCTCTTATCTACTGAACCAAACCAGCTAGAGCAAGGTCTGACCATTCTTACTAGGAATTGTCTCTTGCACATGTCTTCTATCTCTGCTGTGTTGTTCTATTAGAATATGATTCCCCCCCCCCCCCAAACAATTGACGAGCCTCCTGACTGGTCTCTGCCAGCCTTCCTCCTTCCACAGTGACCTCTCTGCGCCAGAGGCATTTCTAAAGGACAGGCCAGATCCCATTGCTCTCCCCGGGAAAACTCGCCCTCCTGAATCAAGCTCACATTCCTTAGCCCACCTCTCCAGCTATCCCCTGTATCAGAATTCTGCATTTGTATTCTGTATAAATGAAATATTCCCAAACCTAGCAGCTTCCAACCACAAACATTTATTATCTCACAGTTTCTGTGGGTCAGGAACTCAGAAGTGTCAGCCCCAGGTGGCAGCGTGCTGAGAGATTGGTGTTAAGATGGAGATTTCCTGGAGCGCCCATTTAATGGACGCGAAGTCAACGGTACACGCTCAGTTTGGGGGTGTGTACAGGGGAGAGAGAGAGAAATGTATACGGTGACATAGTGTAGCAGATGGGCCTCCTGCCCTCCACTCCATGAACATGTGGTGCCTGTAGAGAGTGTGACATGGGAACATGCATGACAGCCCTTTCCTGGCCTCATATCACACCAGCAGCGTATCACCCTCAAAGATAATTGTTTCTGGCCCAGTGTGCCCTGGCTGCCAGTGGCTTCCTCTGCTGCTCCACTGAGGCCGCAGAGCCCTCTTCCAAGCTGAAGGAAAAGCGAGCTGGCTGGGGTCTCCTCAGAAGTGATATGTTTGCTTGTTGTACTTCCTGGGTGTCTGACAGGGTTTTTAAGGGCAATTTTCACATCATGTGATTTTTGCCTAACAAGAGGTCTTGGAACCAGTTCTTGTGGAAAACGAGACTCCATTGGACCACTAACCCCAGTCACCCTCCCTTAATCCCCTGCTTCCCAGAAGTGTTTGTCCTCCTAAAAGGGAAGGCTCAGAATGGAATTGGAATTGGAATTGCCCTGAAGGGAGGTGAGAGTAAGTGATGTCCTCTCTGGCTGGTACTTTTGCTGCCACCCAACCGTTCGTTCAGTTCAGCCACCGGATTTTGCCCAGCGCCTTCTTTGTGCCGGTCACTGGGCTGCGTACTTGGGCTACTAAGAAGAGGGGAGACAAGGTCCACTGAGTGAGTCAACAGCACTGGCTGAGCCCCTTACCATGAGCAAGACACCACCCTACACCATGCACAGATTTTAAAGAAACAAGCCAGCCCTGGCCGGTGTGGCTCGGTTGGAGCATCGTCCTGTACACCAAAAGGTTGCCGGTTTGATTCCCAGTCAGAGCACATGCCCAGGTTGCTCTATCACAAGAGACAGCCAATAAATGTCTTGCTCTCACATCGATGTTTCTCCCTCTCTAAAAATCAATAAAAACTCATAAAATAAAGAAGCAGGCCACGGGATGCCTGCCCTCAAAATTATGTCCTAAAAGAAATCCAGTTGGGATGAAGCAGTGGAAACCCCACCTGACTAGGATGAGGAGACTGGGTTTGTAGGCTGACTCTGTCACTAACTGGCTGAAGGACTCTGGGCAAAGAAGTGGCTTCACTTCTCTGGTCCTTGGTGTCCTCACCTATACAATGGGATGGGACCAGACTGCATATCTGTGAAGAACAAGTAGTACACAGAAACCCACCCTGGCCGGGTAGCTTAGTTGGTTAGAATGTCGTCCCGATATGCCAAGGTTGTAGGTTGAATCTCCGGTCAGGGCACATACAAGAACCAATCAATCCTATATAATAAAAGCATAATATGCAAATCGACCAAACAGCAGAACAACCGGTTGGCGGGGGGCAGGGCCGGTGAGCAGGCGGCGCCAGGCCAGCCAAGGTGTGTGCCAGCGGGTAGAGGGAGGGGACAGTGATGGGGAGGGGGGGGAGAGCAGCAGCAGTGGAGGGGAGACTGGGGGGCTGGGGGTGGGCAGGGCCGGCCGCTCGCTGGCCTGTGCTGTCCCCTGATCAGCCAGCCTGGTCGCCTCTCACATAGGGAGGCCAGACTGCGTCAGTCAGACATCCCCTGAGGGCTCCTGGACTGCGAGAGGGTGCAAGCTGAGCTGAGGGACCTCCCTGAGTACATGAATTTTTGTGCACCGGGCCTCTAGTGAATGCGTAAATGAGTGGAACAACAAATCAATGTTTCTCTCTCCCTCCTTTCCTTCCTCCCTCCTTCTTTCTCTAAAATAAAACAAATTGTGCACACAAAACTTAGAAGCCAAAGCCCATTCTTTCCTCTTTCTGTGCCTGACTTTGCTTATACCACAAGAAGTTACCTCTGCCTCCTAGACATTTCGACCTCTGTATACACCATAGAGGAGGACAGTGCAATCTCTGGATGCGCTTCATTTATTATTCTGCCTTCTGGATTTCAGAGATGCACACTTCTTCAGCACACTCGGAGACTGGAGCTGTGACAATGGTCTGGTTCTTTTGGAGACCCCCACATCCACACGCAGACAGG